GGTCCTCTGGTCTGTGAGAAATCTGGAGCCTGGACTCTGGTTGGTATTGTGTCCTGGGGAAGCTCAACTTGCTCTACCTCCACTCCTGGAGTCTATGCCCGTGTCACCAAGCTGCGTGCCTGGATCGACCAGACCATCGCTGCCAACTGAGCATGTCACATATGAGAGGTTTCAGCACCAAGCTAGTCCTCAATAAAACACAGAAACAATGAAAATGACCTGCTCGAGAACGTGTCTTTTTCTCCTTAATATTCATCTTCATGTTTTTATTATGTGACCAGACAAATTATCACAACTATTAAAGAAACATTATTAATGTATTCATTGACCAAAATGGACAAATGACTCAACATAAACTCTTCTGTAGAAATTCATTTTAAGACATCGAGCATTCGGTGAATGAAGTGTGGTGAACTCCAGAAGAGTTTTATTACGTTGGACTTGCCTGGTGTTTAGCAGCACCAGAATCCGGTTGGCCTAGCTATACATAAATACTAGAAGCAGTGAATAAAAACTATTTTTTATGGTAAAAAAACAAATATTTTATGCTCCTTAATTGATAAAGAAACACACGTTAATATGAATGAGATATAGTTAAGAGTTATGATTGTGGGCATCACTCTTTGACTTCCTTACAAGATTAAAGCACAATCCACACATAGATTTCTTTGTCTTTCTTCATTCAGTAATTCATATGCATCTACACACACACACATATATAATATATATATCTATATATATATACATATATAGATAGATATATAGAGATGTGTTTTCACATCTTCAGGTTACACTGATATGATTACACACACTGTCCTCATCAGTTATTTATTACAGCACATTTAATGCGACACAAAACAAAAAGATCACAGATCATATTTGCTGTATGAGTCTCTGCCTTCGCTCCTCATCACAGCAGCTTGTTATCAGGTGCGTCTTGGGGGGCACACGTGGCCAACTCGGCGGCAGTAGCAGATGGCGTTGAAGAAGCGGCAGTAGCAGGTGTCACAGGGATCACAACAGGGAAGCGGGTAGCCCAAACAGGACTGCTGGTGAGGGATGCAGCGACGAGGTGAACGCATGGCCCGACCCTGCAGCTGTAAGGCTGCAGACGTGTCCTGCAAACATAAATGCAGCAAGCAGATGAATTCACTTTGTTAAGGTAAACCTGTTAACAGGGAGTCACGAGGTAAAGAGTAAACTGCTGGTTTAAATGCTGCACCTCATCATAGGAGCCTGTATCCATCAAAAAATGATCTTCTACAGAGTCCACAGGGAGGAGGGCAGGCTCGTGCATGCGGTCAGGTACTTGACTTCTTTCTGCAAATCAGAAAACACAGCAGAATGTATTTTGCATTTTTTTTGCTTACCGTAATCCATTGTGTTTAATCTGCTGAATGTGAAAAATCTATTTCAAAATACTTCAAAATAACTGCAGTCAAATGTAAAAGATTGGGCTTACTAGATGTGATGTAAAAAAAAAAAATAGGGACAAAATAGAAAACTATATGTTCAGAGGTCTACTTTTTCTATCTATAAATATTCATGCTTCCACTGTTAAACGGATTAATCCTGCCAACCGTGGTGTGTTGGAGAGACAGTGGTTGGAGCTCTCTGAATGAAGAGATGTTACTGACCGATTTCAGATAGGAAGGAGGTTTCAGTGCGACGTCCAGCGACAGGACCTTCATCGAGCGGTAAGTTTCCATGAACCAGCGAGGAGGCGAGCGGCAGCAGACCGAAGGACCAACAGCAGAGCAGCACAGTGCCAAACATCCTGCTGCTGGCAGACAAAAGAAGAAGAAAAACCTGCACCACAACTCCCACAATCCTCAGTTTCTCCAACAAGAGTCTCTGAAAGGAGGAAACAGACACAGGCTTCAGTTTACCTGAAAGAGGGGGAACGCCAAAACGTCCAAGTCACATTTTTTATTCATTCTCTGCATTCAAAAACCTTCATTAGTTGATACAAAGACAACTAACATATGTGAAATTTTCTACCAAACAAGTTTTGGATTTGGAGCTTGTTGGAGTAAGTTTGATAACAGATATGATCTGATCCCACGTGAAATAAACTAACCTGCTGGTTTGTGAATTTCTCTTTATTTTCAGCACATAAGTTTGAGTCTGTTAGTTATAAATTTCAGCACCAAGTGTTTCTTTTTTCAGATTAGAACCAGCAGAGTATTATTCTTATGCATAACCAAATCTGTTGAAATTTCCACACTGAGCAGATTGCAAACCTTGGAGGAAAACAAATTAAATATTGTTCCGTAAAATATTAAATTACATCTCCCTTTCTTCCTTAGCAATAACCCACAGCACTGGTTTTAATCACTTTCCTGTATGATGAAAACAAGTCATGCATAAAGCAAGGAGAGATTCTCATTAAGCACATTGTCATTTACATCCACAGTGAAGCTCGTCAGCAGTTAAAAACAAAATCATTCCTGCTGGGTTTCATTAGTGGTGCAAAGGACATTTAGTACTAGGCTGCATAGTTCCACTTTGTTTTATTAAAATAATTTTACACTGCCGAATTTGACTTGTTATTAAACTTATTTTTTAAATGATCAAAAACACAACTGTAATAATAAAAAGATAACTGTGGATGTTTATTTCTACAACAAAATTGTATCCCTGGAAAAATCTCTTTTACAGCATAATATTCCTGTTATTGTCACTAATACACCAGAAGGCTTAAATAAAACTTCAGTTTTAATCATAAATAAAATCTTATTTACTTCCTACATAAACTGAATCAGAAGAGAACCAGACGGAGATGTGACTCACCTGTTGCTGTGACTCTTCACTGTGACTCTCTGAGATGACGAGGGGCAATTTAAAGACCCCTGGACAGGAAGAAGGTCACATGACCCACAGGTTTGGTATGGAATGGCACCCGCTGTGCATGTGCATCATCCCACGACCTTGCAGAGATACATCAAATGGAGCATGATGGAAGCTCTAAGGCTAATTTAAACTATACGTGAGACTGTATAGCAGGGGGTTGGGGCATCTATTAGTATGGTGATTATGTCGTAAAGGTCACTTCTGTCCATTTTCATCTATATACGACAAAAACAAATGAGGAATATATCAAAAACTGGACAGACAGTTGAGTGTCTAATAGAAAACACAATATTCTTCTATGTGGAAACTATTTATTTTATCTTTTTCTTTATGTTCTAGCACAAAATCAGAGCAAATATCACCTCAGGGTACTTAGTCTTGTAAGATAGAAAGACTGGCAGCAGGCTGTTTTACAGAGGGAAACCCAGATACTGCCTGGGTAAAGGTAAAAACTCCCTTTTAATAAGAAGAAATCTTTAATAAAACCAGTAGTGGGGAATGTGAAAAAGACAAGGAGACAACAGAAAGGCAAAACAAACAAAAAAGCAGAGGCTAGTAACCGCAGATACGACAGATGAGCCCTGGAGCCAGAGATGTCTGCAGCAAGGAAAAGGAAGAGCGAGGTCAGAGAGAGCAACACATGAACACAGAATCACTGTGTTACTGAAACACAGTAATCCTGCAGAAGCAGCAGCAGATAAAACACTTCAGGTCTGCAGAACCAGTTTTAGAAGCGTGTGTTCAGGAAACCTTCTTCTCCCACTTGGAGTAGATTTGTGCTCCACCTCGACTCTGAGAAGACCTAAGGTCCTCAGCGTTGGGCAGATGACCCAGTACGGATCTCCCTGCTCAAACTCTTCCCTGGTGTGATTTTTTTGGTTCTTTTTTGTCGTTATTTTTGAGATATTTGGTACCTTTGTTTGCAGAATAGATGACAGAGGAGGATATAAAGGCAGGCTAGGTTCTTGTCCAGCCTGAAATGTTTTCACATAGTGGTTTAACTGAATTTGGTCTTCTTTTTTCTTACCAGCCCAGAGTGGTAAATGAACTGATCTAGGAAACTGATTCGATAAGCCTGCGTGAGTTCAAATAAAAAAAAAAAAAATTAACTATGTGGATAAAAAAAGTAAATTGTAAATTTATTCAATGTGCCTTTATTTTGTTCCTTAATCAGTAAAAGTAGTCGTGTTTGCCTCTGTGCTGTCAGTTATGATCTGAGTGCTCATTAGAGCTCGGTACACTCAGTAATAATCCTCTCAGGGTGCTTTAATGGAGAACATTAGATCAGCTGCTTCCTTCATGTTTCTTCTATTATTGTCAATCTGCTGCTTTGGTTAGACTTCCTCCTCCTCATCCTCTGTCTGCCAACATGCTGCCAATTCTCTGAATAGTGACACACTGTTGACATCATCGCCACACTCAGTACAAATGAGATCGGACGCAGCTGCAGTTGCACATAGCATCTGCGCTCAGAATCAACTGATTACAGCCCATCAGCAGGAAATGGACTTAATAAACATGTTTGTCTTCACATACTTCCTGTTTCAGCCTGAACTCTTACCACAGTCATGTGTGGGTTCTGTTTCTTTCATGTGATCATCTGCAACAATGACCTCAATAATTTGACCTATAAATGTGCAATTTTGAACATTTATATACAATATAATACAACTACATACAATTTAAACAATTTTAATATTTGCATAATCTGATTATGTTAACACTGTGACAGTGTTGCATAACTACTTGCACTTCTAAATAGGTGCAAGTAATAAAGCGAGTGTCCATAGCACTCGCTTTATTCTATTATTTTTTATGCTTAGAGTTTTTTTTAATGTTTTTTTTAGTTAGTTGTTTATTTAGTTGTGTTAAAGGGAACTCGCAAAGTAAGAATTTCATTGCAGCTTAACATTTGTGTTTTGCGGTGTATGTGACAATAAACTTCTTGAATCTTGAATCTATACAGGTCAATGACATGTATCCATGTATAAAAGTGACTGTAATTACTAAACATTTCATGAAATAGATTCTTTAATTAAAACTGAACTTCAATCATGTCTTGGTTTATTTAAAATTTGCTGTGGCAAAATAGAGGCCAAATTAAATTTTATTTATATAGCGCCAAATCACAACAAAGTTGCCTCAATAAAACAGAGAAAACACCAACAATCAGATGACCTGCTATCAGCAAGCACTTTGGCGACAGTGGGAAAAAACTTCCTTTTAACAGGAAGAAACCTCTGGCAAAACCAGACTCAGGGAGGCTGGGGGTGAGGGGAAGGAGACGGGACAAAAACACACTGTGGAAAAGAGCCGGAGATTAATAATAACCAATGATTAAATGCTGAGAGGTGTATAAACCCATATAGAGTGAAGAAGAAACACTCAGTAGCAGTCTACACCTATTGCAGTTGTCCCGAACTCGAAGATATTGAGGAGGAAAACAAAACAACACTGGTCCCGAAGAGTCTGGTCAAACAATGATTTTATTGAACACAGGGAGATGGATATTGCATACAATCAGCATAGATCTCCACCCAAAAATACACAAGCAATTGCTTTTATAATGTCAGGGTTTGACACCCCTTCTCGCGTTTTTGCATCTTAAGAACATTATTTGCATTTTTTACAGACAACGATCAATTTTAAGAGATAAATACAGACACCGAAGTTCCCCTCCCGAGCATCTTCGTCCAAATATGGCGATGAATCCAGGCCCTGAAGGTCCCCAGGGACTTGTCTTCTTTTTGACACATCTTCTGTCACCTGTTACTAAGCGAACTGAAGAAGCTTCTCGGATGAGAGGTGAAACGTCTTCAAGCAACTTAAAGAAGTCCAGACGCTTTTCTTTGCAAGCTCCTTTGACTCAAACGCCACAGGTTGCTGAATAGTTTCAGGCCTTTGCTCAGGCCTGTTTCTAGATTATATGTACTATATGTGTTTTGTAAGCGTGTATGCAGTTTTAACCTTCTATAGCTCCAAGTCACTTACACAATAGATCGCCCGGACATCGCGCCGAACGAGGTTTATGACCTTTCCTTAATTGACTGAGCTTTAACTCTTTAATAAGCACAAAATGTGCGTATACAATTATTATGGCTGCCCCTGTAATAAAAGGTTAATGTAAAGCCAGCAGGTTTAATAACCATCTTAATGCAATGTCAATGCTGTAGATTATATTGTTAATGCAATATTAATGCTGCAGGATATATTGTAGCTGTAAAATAATTTCTTTAATTCCACACAGTAAAACTAAGTAAGGTCTCAGGGTCGCCGGATCCAACCCTAACTATATCAAAAAAAGAAAATTCACAAGACAAATGACAAGAACTATGTAATTGTCCAAAAACTTATGGACCTCCGTGTATTTGCAGAGTTCTCCTTTTGCCGTAGGTTCTATTTTCCACCAGTGTGTCATCTAGCAGGTGTTTCATGTTAAGGTGCAGGCAAACATTACACTGACAAATGATGACGATTTTATTTTTATAGCACATTTCATTACATATACACTCAATGTGCTTAACACAGAAAATGGAGATGTGCAGGTTTACAATGCGGGGAAAACACAGAGCAGGACAAATCAACACCTACTGACTTTAGCCTGTGTGAATAAAAAGGCTTTGCGTGTGTTAATAAAGTGCTTCACAACTGTGAACAGATGTAGAAAATAAACCACATCTGGCAAGTTTAAGCGACTAAGGCTGAAAAAACTGCAGACAGCTCAAAGTGCGCGGTTCCAAAGATAACATTTTAATGCTTCAATTGAAAAGACTACCAGTAAAAGACTATGCAGCAAACCTTGATAGACATATGACCTGGTGGTAAATACGCTAAAGGGTTACCTAGGCAACCAGAGCCATGGATGTCTGCTAGTGTCCAACTGTCAGCAACAAACTGATGTGTGGAGAGCAACTTGCTTGCTGTGGTGCAGCCTAAATCCAGCCACATCATAGACTGTATATAAAGGATAGACACAGCTTCAGCTTCAGCCTGCACTCTTTCCAATGGCCAGCAGGGGGTGGC